CGTGGACACCTCTCCTGGTGTTTCGCAGCAGCCGATCTCTGCTGGGACTTGTTAAGAGCACGCGTTCAAACAAAGATATTCCCCGGTGCAGTGAGATGTCTCAGCAGCACAAGGGTTAACCTTGCTTTCCCTCTCTTTCCATGGCGAACTGGGGTGGTGGTGGTGGTGGTGGTGTGGTCGGGGATAACCTCGTTAGCGGCTGCGCTGCGGCAGCGATGCCCCTGAGACAGAGCAGCCCTATAAAATGGAGCTGTGTGCTGCAGGGGGGGTGCTGGGAAATGGTAGCTGAGCTGCCTCGGTGGGTGGCTGGCAGGGTGCTCCCCCCACCAAACACAGCCACTCGGGGTGTCATGGAGCGGGGCAGCTGGACTGGGGATGTTGGGGACAAGGCGGGTTTGTCACGGTGGGTCCAGGTGCTGGTAACGAAGCTGTGGCTGAAGGGGAAGCAATTGCAATCAGTCCTGGGTAGGGCTGCCCCAAGGGTGCTGTGAGGGGTCAGCCCAGCCCTGAGCCTGCAGTTTTGGCGGGGGGGGGGTCCTCTCAGGGCTGCAGAGTGGGCACTCAGAACGTGGGTGCACGTGGGGACCTTGCACTGGCCATCAGAGCATCCATGTTGTGCCAACCACACACGCAGCCCCACGCCCCACAGTGGGGTCTGGGGAAGTCCAGCCATCCCCTCCTGGTCTGCCACCTCTCAGATGGGCTGGTGAGCTCCCACTGCCCTTCTCAGGGCTGGTACTGGCACCGGTGCCCAGGAATTGTTTGCTGCCTGTGCCATAGGCCCTGTTTCTGGTGGCCACCTCCCCGTGCTGCGGGAGAAGATGGGTTCCTTATGGCTCAGCATTCATTCACTCTGGTGATCGACAGCCTGCGGTCTGGCTGAGCAACCCCAATTGTTCCCAGTGTGCCTGGACAAAGAAGTGCCTAGAGAGATGGCAAGGCTTAGGAGAAGAGGACATGCTAGGAATATTTCCACTGCCTTGGACACCACCAGTTTTTCCCCACCCCACCCCCTTCCTGCAAGAATGGGAGGCAGCAGCTCAGTTTCACAGGCAGGGCGGGATGCCTCCCTGCATGTCCCAAGCGGGGCGGGTGCAGGAGAAGCCTGTCCCAAGGCAGGATGAGCCTTGGGGACTGTGTTCCTGGGGAGCTTGTCCTCAGCAACGTCACGGTGCTGCACTGAGCTCAGTGCTTGCTCCTCTGCTCCTGGTGAGGGATGTAAATGCTGAGTTTCCCCAGAGCACAGGCCTTAGGAGCCCCCAGGTAGCCCCATGCACCCCCTGCAGGTCCCTGTCCCCAGGGACTCATGTGGCACTGCAGGGTGGTGGCTTTGCCCTGGGGCCCTCCTATGTGCTCAGGACTGCCCTTTCCAGGCAGAAAAATTTTGGGAGTGGCAGCTTGCAGCTGATGGCTTTGCTCAGTGACAGCCTGGGTGCTGCATGGCCCCCAAAACCTGGAGGAATTGGGGAGGGGAGGGGTGAGGAGGGGCAGGACTGGCTTCATCAGCCACAATGCTCTGTGTGGGATTAACGCCATCATGGAGGCAATGCTTTTTCCTTTCCCCCTGGGCTGATGTTCAGCTGGGGCAGGTCTGAGCACTCGCACACATTGCTGCACCCTCAAGCTGTGGGCTTTGCCCGGCACAGGGCTCATCTCCAGGATGCTGTTAGGACTATTGCCCACTGGTGGTTCTCCCCAGCTTGTCTCACTCACCACGGCTCATTCCCAGCTGCTGCCCAACCCTGAGATTTTTTGCTCTGTTTTGCAAACGGGAAAGCTGGGACAGGGATAAAAGACTGGGATGTAAAGTCCTTGGCATGGGGCGGCTCCCGGTGAGGTCTGTGAAAGCAGAGGGTTCCCGCAGGAGCTCTGCTGGTTCTCATGCGACCTGCTCAAGGTCAGGCAGAGCAGGCAGCGAGTCCCGGTCCCTTCCTTCCCCGCCGGCCCTGGGGCTCGAGGAAGGAGCGGAAGCGGAGCCTGTGTCTGCTCCACCACCTCCGAGCAGGGGGAGGGCGGCGGGCGCCACCGAGGCTTTTGTTCTTGGGGCTCGGGGGGCTCCTTCACACGTGAAGGGAACGGCATCGGTGTTTCCAGTGGGGAAAAGATGCTGCATCCAAAAACATCCCGGGTCCCTCGATCATTAGCAGCCACCATGGCTGAGAATCAATCTCCTGGTTGCTCTGGTGTGGTTTTGCAGGAGGATGGCAGGGATGAGCGTGTGGGATGGCTGGGAGCACGGGACCCATTGCAGCCTGGCTCCTGGGGGACTGGCTCCTTCACACGTGAAGGGAACGGCATCGGTGTTTCCAGTGGGGAAAAGATGCTGCATCCAAAAACATCCCGGGTCCCTCGATCATTAGCAGCCACCATGGCTGAGAATCAATCTCCTGGTTGCTCTGGTGTGGTTTTGCAGGAGGATGGCAGGGATGAGCGTGTGGGATGGCTGGGAGCACGGGACCCATTGCAGCCTGGCTCCTGGGGGACTGCTCTGCTGTGTCCCCTGGGTTCAGGAGAGACTGCCCGGCAGCCTGGGGTGTAGTAAGGTGGTGCCTGGGGTGTAATAAGGTGGTCCCTGAGGCAGCAGAGTCTCCTCACTACAGTAAGCAGAGCATCTAAACATGTGGGGGTGTGACTGTGCTATGGCTTCCGCACGGCAGAGCTGCCCCTGCCCCACTGCAGCCGGGAAAGCCCGTGTCTCCCCCCGCAAAGGGGACCTGGGCAGGAACGAGGGGGCTGGGGCACGGTTGCCCCCGGAGGAAATGGGCCGAGAAGGTCCTCAGGGAGGCAAACCGCTGCAGGAGCACAGTCAGCTTCACCCCAAGCTGTAAGAGGCCCCTGTTTCCCCTGCGCCCGCTGTCCCGGGGAGATTAGCTCTCGCCTGGCTGGGCTTGACGGGCAGCCGGAAGAGGCAGCGCAGGCCGAGCGCCGCGGGGCCGCACGGAAACCCGGGCAAAACGGGCACCGCAGCAGCCCCTTCCCTCCCAGCTGCGGCCGGGTCCCTTCTCAGCCCTCCCCGTGGCTGTGCTCACCTCTCACCGAGTCCCAGAGCAGGGGGACCAGGCATTTGCCATCACCCCACATGCTGGTGACAAAGCGGGGGGACACGCTGTGCGGTGAAGGCATGGCTGTCAGGCTGCATTTCCCGGTGCCACGCTCGCCCCCCGGCCAGCCCAATGGCCACTTGGTTCCCCCGGTGCCGGTGCCACCACCTCCCTCCCGGTGCCAGTGCCACCACCTCCCTCCCGGTGCCAGTGCCACCACCTCCCTCCCGGTGCCAGTGCCACCACCTCCCTCCCGGTGCCTCTTCCCCGCCAGGGCTGCCAGCTCAGCTCATGCACAGCCAAGTGCGTGGGATGAAAGGGGCTCTCCCGGGGTACCGGGGAGCGCTGGTGGCAGCACGAAGGTCACTCGGTGTCCTGGCAGCACTCTCTAATGCCGCCGATGAGAGCTGCCCGTGGGGATTGCGGAGCAGCATGGAGGTGACCCCTGAGCTTGGGGTCAGCGGGCCGCGGCGTGCGTCAGCCCCGAGCGGCTTAATCCCAACCGGGCAGGAGGAGGAGGAGCGCGGCGGGGCGGCGGATTCCTGACCCACAACTGGGCCTGGCATCTTCTCCGGCATCGCCGTGGTCCCACCTCCTGCCGTAACTGGAGAGGATTGAGCGGTGCTGTCCTGGCACCAGGAGGGCAAGGGGAAATAATAGCAACCGGCAGCAGAAAATATGAAGCAGCAGAATTCCCTTTGTCTTGAGAAAGCAGCCCTCTGGACCGTTTCTTCCCCCCTGAAATAGCTTTTCTGCCACCCAAAAGGTGGCAGAATATTCTGCAGAGCATTATTTCAAAGGATTATTTTTTAATTTTTTTTTAAATTTACTGTAATCATGTGCCAAAGCTTGAAATGCTTGTGAATGGCCAGATACATGGGAAAATAAATATGCAAATACCATCCCCAGGTTTACCAGTGGGATTCTCCAAGCTATTTCCCAAACACAGGGCTCAGCCCGTACCCGTCATTGGTTCTGGTCACTTCTGCAGCACTGCAGGAAAGGCAGTGTGAAAAAATGCTGGGTTTTCTGCAAGCTGAAAACCTGTGGGTAAAGCTGGGGGTTGCAAGGGGCTTTTTGTGATACCTTTTTCCTCAAAACTGTCTTTTTGTGTGTGGCTTTAACTGGAAGCAGATGCAGGCACAGGGAGCTGTGATGCTTCTCATCCCACAGCAGTCACAGGATGTCACAGGACAGGGAGTTATTTCAGGTGTAGGCTTGGAATAGAGAGGATCTTCTTGGGATCTTGCCCGGTGCTGCAGTTTATTCCCTCTGCTGTGAGGGAGGTGGGTCAGGGACACAGAGGTGCCTCGGGGAATCCCTGCGGTGGAAGGAGAGTGCTGTGAGAGGGAGCTTCATTCAGCTCTGCCTGGGAGGAGGCTGCAGTGAGCTCTGGCTGCCAGGAGGCACTGGGCAATTAAACAGTCTGGACACAGGAGGAACCTCGGTGAACGTAATCAGGTCAGGGGCACCCCTCTGTGTCTCGGTGAAGAGCTTATCCTTGCTGTTAGACAGCTGAAAAGTTGAATTAATAGCACTTCATGGGGTTTGGACGTACATCCAGCGGGAAACGGGCTGGATCTACCTGCACAACGTCACACAAACTGCAGATTACAGAGCTGTTGGCTAGAGCCTAACACACACAAACCAGATTTATCTAGTCTCCCCCCCCTCAGGTGTTTTTTCTCCCTGTGCACGAGGCAGATGTTTGGTTGTTTAAGATTTAAAATCGTCTACCACTGAAATAACTTTTCCATAACGAGGCATGATTGGGAAGGATGGATCAATCCCCTTTTCAATACCAGAGAAGTGCGAGGCTCGGAAGCAAGCACTAAGTGATTGACCAGGCTGGATGCTCTCCCTGCTCCCCTTGTCCCCTCTGCTTAATTCTTCCAGGTTTGAAAACGACTCTGTGCTTCTATTTCTCTTTTTCTCAAAAAAATCAAATTCTGATACAAATGGGGAAGGATGGGAATGCGTTTATTTCTTTGCTATTTAAATACAAGTATCCACATATTTCCACGCTTTCTCGTAACAGTATAAAAACCAGATGATTGGACTTGTAGCTTCTTTCAAACACTTGCTGAAGTGGCAGGTTCTGAGGGATTGATGGGTCCTTCTGGGCCGTGACACCACCCCTGGTTGCGCAGCCTTGTCTTCTCTTATCAGGGCGTTAGGAGTCAGCTGGGAAAGAGCAGATCTGCAGGCCCACGAGGAGAAATTAAACATCCTGGACAGATGTCGGGTCAGACCCGCGCACTTTCAGCTGAAGCTTTCCAGACTGGTCTTGACCCGTTCCATTTCATGCAGAAAACTGTAGAACTGGGGCAAAGTTAACTCTGCAGAAAAAAAAAAAAGAAGAGGCATAAAGTCTTAGATTTTGGGTTACACTTCTAACATTGGAAAAGCCACTCTGGTGCTACCACAGAGCAACTGGTGTTCACCTAAACTAGGCAGGATTAAACACTTTGGCTCTTGGCAGCTGTTTCTTCGCGCTGGGCTGCGTGGGGGTTCCAGGCTAGGAATCTCCTACCAGCAACCGACACTTGGGAATTGTTTACTTTCTTCATCTGCCGTGCTCCTCTGACCGTTTTTCACGGCTCCGTGGCATATCTATATTTAGTTACACAAAGATGTGAAGGCTGCCCAACAGTCCGTGTCCCCAAGTACTTCCAGAGTGACTGTGTTGGGGACAGGACAGGGCAGGAGCCGGCGCAGCCTCCAGCAGCGATGCTCTCGCAGTGACCCCTGCTGGGTCTGCACCCACAGCTCCCCCACCACCAGCGACACCCGGGAGCTGCTGCTGCACTTTCCTGTACTCAAATGCTTGCTTTTTTTTCCAGAACTGTTAACTCACCTATATATACGTTTTCTGTTTGGCTCCCTTTTTTAATCACCAGCTTCAGCTTGGGGGGAAAAAAAAAGCAGAGGTATTTTAATTCAGAGAGACCTGTATTCCGAGCACCACAGAAAGACAGAAGAGCAGGAGTCTGCTGTGAGTTTCAGACAGCTTTGACAGGCTTTTTGGGAAGTGTCATTGTAGGAATAGATTCCTTAGGCATTGGGAGGATCTCTGGAAGTCCTTATAAATTATCCGATTCCCCTTCCCTCCCCCAGATAGCATGACCTTTGCTAGATTGAGGTTTTTGAACAGCTTTTTGGGGTGGGCTATGCTTCTGTGATACATGATGTCTTCAGAAGGGAAACAAATCGCAGCGTGCCTGCTGGCAGTTGCGCTCAGCAGACTGAAGCAGACGCCCTGTTGCAGTTTGTTCCTGTGAGATCTAGCTTTTCCTCCAGCCCCTCTCACAGCCAGCACTTCCCACACGCCTGGTCATAGCTTGTTCCTAAACTGCACTACAACCCGAACTCTCTGATGTAGGAGATTTACCTGTAAGAAGATACTTCCCACTTTTTCCAGTTCACTGCTTCCAGCAGTCACTGTGAGTCAGAAAGAAGAGAAGGGAGATAATCTGTTAGCTAGACTGTGAAATAAAAAGTTATTTAGCTGCTGTCGGGTTTCCCAACCCGTTCAGTTTCTGCTTTAGTTCTATTACCTCCAAACTTCCACTCCATATCTATCAGCTGGTTAATCATCAGCGTCTGACCAACAGCCAGGCGCGTCAGGGTGGGGGAATTCACCTTCCACTGCCAGAGCAAAAGACACACAAGCAATCAATTCAGAGAGGCCTCGATTTATGTTACCTGTAACTTCAGCAACAAGTCAGAAAGGAGGTGGACTGATGGCAGAAGCCCAAAGTGGAGGTGTGCAAAGGGGCAAGCTAATGCGGTCGGGAGGGCTTCCAAAGATGTTTGAGTCCTGCTAGGATTTCCATCTGCCTTGTCACTTCTGTAAATGAAACTCACTGTTTTTTGTTTTAACACTGGTTCAGTGTAACAGTATCTGCGCCAAAAGTCATGTGTTCGTGTAAATGCGTGACCCCAGGGCTCAAAGCATGCAAAGCAGGAAAACAATCAAATGAAAGCCACACAGAAGTGCAAGAATCACTAAACCGATGAGGTAGAGGCCACGACAAACCAGAGGTATCATTAGACAAAGTTACCCTTATTAGTTACCCGTTTAAAATTCTGAGCTGGTTTTAAAGAAAACAGTCAAAATGCTGACACATCTCAGTAGCCCAGTGGGGTTTTACAAGTTCCCACTCAAAGACTGTCATTTTGTTAGCTTAGAGACAAGAAAAAATATATTAATACCTGTTCTGCAAAATAACTGGCTTTTTCTTCACTGAGGCCTGTGGGAGAAACCATATGAGATTACTATATGTGATAAATATTAATTATCTTTTATTTAATGAAAGTCAGGTGACCTACCTAGAGCAATAAAATCTGCTCTGACTTGTTCAGAAGACAAATTCCTCTTCAGGGCACCTGAATAAACAATTCAAGGAAGAAAAATCACTTTTTCCTGAGTCAAAGCAATCTTTACTGAGTCAAATAAATGCTGGGATGGAGACCCTGCGATAGAAAGCCTCTGTTCCTGGACTGTGTTTTGAAACAAACCACAGCTCGTCAAGATAGGAAATACAGTTGTGCCTGCCGGTGTCTTTGCAGATGCCCAGTGCTTTAAAAGTCAGGGCAATGGAAGTGCCTGAGAGAGAGAGGGAGAGATTTCATTGCAGGTATCCATGGAAACAGCAGCAGCAGTTGTGTTTTGAAGTTGCTGCTTTCCCTCCTATAGAAGCTTTGCTTGTTAAAGGAGAACTGTTAAGGCTGGCAGGCTACTAATTTGACCTACCTGCTGTGTTTTGGATTATGGGTGTGAACGTGTGCATATAACACTTTCCCCTGCTGTGCCTGCCTCCTTTGTTCTGGGGCACAGGCAGCACATGGAAGTTTACAAGGATTCTGTTCTCCAAAGCCAAGAGCAGGAATCTCATAAATTCAAAGAGACTGCCAGGCCCACGTGGCTTTCCGTCTGTGTCGCACACAGGCAAAGTTATCGGCTGTAATCTGTTCCCATACTGTCTGTGGCATCCCAGAGCTAACGAAAAGTTACAAGGGAATTGGAGCCAGCTCACACAAACAGCAAGGAGGAGATTTGAGTGCACCTAGGCCAGAATCAGGAAGGGAGAAAACGCCGATTCCACATTAAATGCCCCCAAGACACTTGTAGGAAAGGAAATTATCCACTGAAAATTATCCAGCAGAAATGGCTCAAAGTAGTAGAATGAAAATTTAGACCAAATGCAGGAAACAGTTGTGTACGGCTTCACTGCTGTGAGGAAAGCTATGGGAAACCCAGGACTGAAGGATAATAGCAAGGGACTATTAATAACAAGAAGGATCAATGGGATGAACCTGCAGTGGAGGTGTTTGATGCATTAACATGTCAAACGGCAGCCACAACATCACAGTAATTTCATAAAGTGCTGGAGTCTGGGGTATTCAAAGGGAATCCCCCTGCCCCTCTTCCCCACTATTTATAAATAAGAAACTGCTGGACACGTGTTTTTCTAAAACGAGACAGCAAGGACACGTCTCCTTTACGTGGCCTAGAATTATGCTGGTTTCCAGCCCACTCTAGTGGGGTGCGTACACTGCCTTATCTGTCTCAAACAGCACTTGTCCTTGTAGGAATTATAACACTGGGTCACTTGGATAGAAGTTCCTACAAAGACTTAGTGCCAAAATAAGCCTGGTCTGGCAGAAACAGATTTACAAGTACAAGTTAAACCAAGCACTGTCACAGTGTTCCGCTTGCATTTGATGCATAGATATTTAAGTGAGTTAAGTCTGTGAAAGGTGCGTGCATGCAGGGTGTAAAGAATACAAAGCCCCAGTCTCCAAAAAGGGACTTTTCCACAAGAGGATTTTTGATTCTTAAAGGCTATGGCATTTATTAGCTACCATTAGCACTTATTGTGCAGACCAAGTGTACTGCAGTACTGAAGACACACTTTAGCAGCATGCAGGAATGGACGCAATAGTTTTGGCCTCAGGGTAGCATATGCAAATGTATCACTTACCATTAGGTACCAGAAGAATACTTTTGACAATGCTTTTCAAGGGACCCAAGCTGATTTTATTCATGGTGGCAAAGTCTGAGAGCTGAGTCAGAAACCTTTCTACCTGTTCAAGAGAAAAAGCAGTGACACAATCTCATCTCTGCGTGTTTCTCACCAGGGAGCTGCATTCACACACTTGTCAGAGTTCTCTGCACATGCCTTACCTCCTTGGGCTCTGTTAGAAAGCGGAAGAGCACTTCAGTCAGCGCTGAGAATTGCTGTGAAGGAACAGGAGAGTGTTACGGAGTTGGGCATCAGCATGCATCATTTCTCAGCACCTTGCCACCCCCTTCACCACCATGACAAGGTGACGATTTACCACACTGATGCAGCTCCACCTGTCCCCAGGACATTGGTCCCAGAGTTTGACCTCCCGTGCTGGCAAGGTGCCCCAGTCCTCAGCATTACAAGATGCCTATGGATGGGATTTCCTCATGGATGCTTTTTAGAGACTCTCAAAGGGTTTGAGCAGCTGGTAGCTGGCACTGCACGGGGCTTTTGTGACTCTTGGCTAATCAGAAGCTGCTGTTCTATCCTGTGTAATCCATCTGTGAGTGGGGAAAGATGCAAACATCTACTCTCATGTTTCACAAATCCCGTGGGGTAACCAAACTAACTCAGGAAAGGAAAAGAACCAATTAAAGGTCTAGTCTCTGCCTTCAGTTTTCTGGCAGGGATGGAGAGCCTGCCTGCAGGGCAGAGCACCACCACCTTGCCTTCTCTGCCAGCACCAGCGCTGGCCCTGACCTCCTGGGTACGCCTGGCTGGTCTGCTGCTGCATGTGGCTCATCGTGTCCCACCCTTGTTGTCAGCCATGTAACAGAGGTGGCACTGGGCTGTTACCCATGGTTCTGGCAAGGTGAGCTAAAAAATCTACAGTTCTTTCATTAACTTCAGCGTGAGCTGAACCAGCTTCTGCAATGTGGCCACACACCCCCAGTGTGTTGGCAACCTGGAGGCAGATGTGTATCACTGACTGGGACAGGAGGCAATCACAACCCGAATGCTGAGAGAACCCAGCGCTTGACAGGACCCTACAGCCTCCACAGGGCGTGACGTGAGCCCCTCCATCACCTGGAGCACCTTGTGGCCTGAAAAGCAGGCTCCCACAGGAGCTTCAGCAGGAGGAGATGACTAGATGATCTCTATGGTCCCTTCCAACTCTAGAAATTCAGTGAAATTCAGTGAAATGCATGGGGCTGTGCTGCTGAGCAGGGGGGCATGTTCTGCAACCCTGCCCCAGACACCAGCAACCGTGGATCCCTTCTGGAGCGGGCTGAGACCTGGCAGGGACCGTGGCACCGGGGCCTAGAGGCCTGACTGGGCTTAGTACTGGGTGTTCTGGGGTGCAGGGCCTGACTGGGCCTGGTACCAGAGCTGTTCCAGGGCTGTGGGGACTGCAAGGCCAATGGTGCCCAGTACTGGGGCTGCTCTGGGGGTGTGAAGCCTCCTGGGCCCAACCGGGCCCAGTACCGGGGTGCTCCGGGGGTGCAAGGCCTGACCCGGCCCAGTACCGGGGTGCTCCGGGGGTGCAAGCCCTGACTCGGCCCAGTACCAGGGTGCTCCGGGGGTGCAGGGCCTGACTGGGCCCGGTACCGGGGTGCCCTGGGGGTGCAGGGCCTGACTGGGCCCGGTACCGGGGCTTCTGGCCCTGGAGGGCAAATGACGCCCGGTACTGGGGCTGCTCTGGGGATGTGGAGCCTGTTGGGCCCGACCGGGCCCGGTACCGGTGCTGCCCCGTAGCTGTGGGGCCGGCTGGGCCCGTGTGGCGGCTCACCCCGGCTGGCTGCGGCTGCCCTGCAGCCCTCGGCCCCGCGGGATCCCGGGCCGAGGCTGCTCCCGCCGCCGCTCCCCGCCCTCCCCCGGCCCGGCCCGGCCCCACCTGGGCGCTGAGCTGGGTGAGGTTGTGCATGTCGCCGCTCACCGCCTCCGGCACCGGGTCGCGGGTGAAGTTGAGCAGCCCCATGGCGGCGGCGGCGGCTCCGGCGGCTCCGGCTCCGCCCGCCCCGCCCGGCCCCGGCGCCCGCCTCAGCCTGAGCATTGGCGGCCGCACTTTCCGCACCGCCGCCGCCCCGCAGCCCTCGGCTCCGCACCGGCGGAGAGGGGCGGCTGGGGGGACGTGGTGGTGCTCCTCCCGCCCTCCGGCCCCTGGAGCAGCCGCTCGGCCTGCCCCATGGCGGCCCCGGCAGCTGCAGCCACGGTGATGGGGAGCCCCTCCTTGGCACCGGGCGGGTGGGACTGGTGGGCGGTGGGATGAATGGCCGGTGGGACCGGTGGGCAGTGGGGTGGGTGGCCAGCAGGCTGGCATGCCTGGTTGCCCACCTCAGGGCTCGCAGAGGTGCTTTGCCACAGGCCCCACAGCCATGTGCGGGCAGGGGGGAGCGTGGCTGGGTTCACCTCCCAGCACGGCTTCGTGCACCATTAGTCGGTCTGGTAGAATAATTGTTTTTGATGTGAAGGTTTGGGACAGCCTCTTTCTTTCCTACACAGAACTAGTCGGTAGAACCCCCAAATTTGAGTTGCAGTACATGTGTATGTCTGTGTGTGTTTGTGCCAATAAATGTTTACTCTTCATTCTAAGATCTCCGTGCTAGAGGTTTTTAGCCACATGTTCAGTTTTGTGCACTTGATCACTTCCACGGGAAGTAAAAAGTGTGATTGCTGGCAAGTGTGGAGCTTAAACCAGGCAAAAAGGGAGAGAACTGGGGGTACCCTCCGTGTGCAGAGGCTTAAACCTGCAGGGTGGAGATCTGGCTGATGGCTGATTAGTGTAAATTGTTTTTCTGTACCAAAAACTCAAATAAAATGTTTAAAAACCAGTTTATAGGATGAATGGGTTTTTTTCCCCTGAAAATTTCACTTAGGACCTGAAACCCGGGTGTGATTTTCCCTCTGCGGCTGCTGCTCCCAGCAGTGGCACAGACCCAGGGTGATGGGTGGCCCCGGGACAGAGCAGCTCCTCGTGTCCCATGGCTGGGCTCCTTGGGATGGACGGGATGGGTAAGGAAGAGGCAGCTGCGGGCTGAGCCATCCCATGGGCAGAAAGTGTCTAAATGTCAAAGGGATTTGAACCCTTTCTCACCGTAACCCGTAAGCAGGAGGTCTCCTTGGTTCAGAGACCTGTAGGAAGGCAGGTGAGTTGGAAAATCACTTTTTCACCCTCTCTACACCGTCTCTTTCTGTTTGTGCTCGGGAGGAGGGTCTTGATCCAGAAAATACTAAAACTGGATGTATTCCCGAAGAGGACAATGGAGCTGATCCTGTGCTTGAAGACTCCCTGGCCTTAAGCTGCTATTTTCCAGCTTTCCAAGAGCAGGAAGATAAGCTCTGGCAGTTATTTCACTATCAGTGTGAATGTGTCTGTTCCGTTTTGTCTGGGAAGGTGTTCACTGGCTGCCCAGGTGGACACAGCCTACAAAACCTTTGTGGAAGGTAAAACTGTGGCAGCCCACAAGGCTTCTGTTTTATTACTGACACTTTCAATTGCAAATGGGAGCATAGGAAATGTTATAGTGCCGTTCATTGTGAAGATACCCCAGCTGAGAGATTTTCCATACATGGGGTGGAACTGTGTATCCTGATTTAATAGGATTGTTGAGGTGAAAAAATTGCTTGCGGGGGTGTTTGCGGGATTGGACCCTAAATATTTAGGACACCTTCACACAAAGTGTAGATTTTTCACAGTGGAATAATTTATCAAGTTCTGTGGTGAACCGCCCATATCAGCATGTTTAAAAACACAGGATATGCTTGTGTCTAAATTCACTAAAACTCATTCAGGGAGGTGTATGGAGCGGGTAGCATGGGATGCCAGTGTGTGTGAACATGATATTCCTGGACTTAAAACGTTCCATACAGCCTTATGGACATTTTCCTAAGTGCAATTTAATAATTGTGATTAATAATTGCACACTTTCGTAACCACTAAAATGAATTCACCTGTACTGTGTGGCAGAGAAAGTGAAGCAAGGCAAGAGGCAATTTTCTGTCCGGTTTCTCTGCCAGGATTAGCTGTGCGGGAGCACCCTGTGACTGATCTTTGCTTCCCTCTGTCTTTCTAGGGTGATGCTTTAGGAACTAATTAAGGATGGTCTCAGCGCACGCGTGTGTGCTTGTGTGAGCATGCAGGAGGGAGAAGCCAACGTTATTAAACAGTTTCCCAGGCAGCAGACCAAATTCTTGGGGAGAGCTGAGGGACAGGATCCAAGAAGAAGGGTTGAAGTTGAGGTACGTGCTCATAACATCCTGTCCAAACAATCACCAGGAAATTCGGCAGTCCCACCTCCCGGGATGCTGCTTTGGCTGCCGTGTGGCATGCAAGTGCCACGAACCCTGGGATGGGCACTGGTGGTTCTGTACTGGCAGGCAGGTTCTGCCAGCACTCATTTTTGGAAAGAATTTACTCAAAATAAGAGAGAAGATTTCAGGGTGAGGCTCTGGATTAGTTAAAGAGTGATGATCTGGATTAATTACAGGGTGATGGTCTGGATTAGTTACAGGGTGCCAAGTGGAAGGTGATCCCCAGTGCCCAGGGCAGAGCCCCCAGGGCTGTCCCTGTGTCCCCTGGCAGCCATTGTCCAGATGGGTGCCTCTGCCAGGCCATTCTCATGCAGAATGTGTCACTGATGGACTCATCAGAGCTGAGGACAAGCTGAGGACAGTAGTTGGGAGTCACAGGTATGCACACCAGTTCACCACAAATACTGGAGTGAAAGCAGCAGCAAAAAGCGATGGGGACAGGGACACACACAGGGAAACAGGGTGTTAAAAACGGTGCATTCCAAAATAAGCCAGAGGATCCGTGTGCCCTACTTCAGATGCATTTTTTAGCTTCATTTCACCTGTCAAAGTCCAAAATCTTCCTCAGCACTTGGAGAGTGTTACCTGGGGAAGGGTCCTTATTATATATTCCCAAGAAGTCAAATCTCAGGGTGTCACCGTCCTTCTTTCTGATGCCACTTTCTATCCAAAGCTCTCAAGACCCTTTGCAGTCACTCCGAGATTAACTTTGGAGTACCTTCCTGAAGCAGGGGAGCGTTGCCTGCACTTGGTGGCCTGAGAAGGGTCTGGAAAAGGTAAGAATGTGTGAATGAGCTGGGGATAAAACCCAGACACCTTTCACCGTGGCTGGTGCTGAGCCCACCCGCTTTCTGTGTATTCTGCCCATCTGCAGTGTCTGCCTTGGGCTGCGTGGATTCTGGAGAACATCTCTCTACGCAGGATGAGGAATGAGGGATGCTGCAACTCCTCCTGGCTTGCTGGCGTAATGGAGACTGCCCAGACGAAACCTTGGAGGGATTAGTCCTGTTCCCAGGGGAGGCTGATATAAATGAGAGTTTTGAGACCAGGATTTCAGTTTCTCCTGCAGTTTAGTGCCCCTTCCTCTCCCCCATCACCCTCTGCACCTTTAGCTCCCAGGCAAATGTTGCCAGAGGAGTAAATTATCACAAGCCTCGCATGCGAAGGTTGGGGCGGAACTGGAAATGCCACTGCTGGGCTCTGGTACACTCCTGCCTTGTGACCGCAGGCAAAACCCTTCCTCTGCTGGCTCCCCTGCCCATGAGCAGGGATGGGATGATAATCCCTCACCTGCCGGGGAAGGAGCCTCTCAGGACCTGGCGTGGAGGAGGCTCTGGGGAGAGTTCCCCCCGGGGTCCAGTGTGTCTCCGATAAAAGTCTATGTGCTTAGGAGGGCGGTTTGGGGAGGCCTCGTCACTTCAGATTAGGCTGCAGCAGGCGTATCCTGTTTTCTAGGAAAAAGAGGATTTTGTGGCCAGCTTTGTTAGAGAGGCATTGAAGATTTCTCTTTGTGTGCCTTTGCGTTTGAAGTTTACACGCTGGTAGCTGCAGACTTTCTAGATGTTCTGGTTACACGGGTGACACTTATTTTTAACCTTTTTTTTTTTTTATTAGAGGCTTGTATCATGTGGTCCTGGCCAGCCCACAGGAAGGGCTAGAAACTTCATGTAGGAGGGATAACACTTCCTATCTCCGTGTAAACACCAATTCCCCCCAGATGGGAAAAGCCAGCCCAGCTGTAGGGGAGGCTGGAGGCTCTGTTCCCACATGTGGCAGCAGGATGAGGCTTTCCCACAGTGGGGACAGACCTTGCTTTCAGTAGCCAGAGCCCTGCCACTGGGTAGCACAGCTTGCCCCTGGGCTCAGGAGAGATGCTGGTGGCAGGAGAGATGCTGGTGGCCGGAGAGCTTCTTCAGGGAGCAACGGTGAGGAGCAGTTGGTCACTGGGAGCTGCAATGGAGCGGAGCTGGTGGAACCGGTGGAGAGGCTGGTGGCCAGCGTGGGGCGAGGGCTTGGGCTGTGGAGCCAGTCGTGGAGGAGGACACATCCCATGGGTCATGCTCTGATGGGGTTTTGCAGTGAAGAACGCCAGGCAGTGAAAATGATTGTTGCTGTGGGCTGGGAAAGAGCCGCTGTGCCATGTGCTGTGTGTGCACCGAGATGGGGAACCCCGAAGCCTGAACTCAGCAGGAGCATTGCTATCAGCTTCAGTGAAAGGAAGAGTTCCTCCTGCTCCCTGCCCCGGGGTCGCTGGAAGAGCTTGCAAGTGTCCAAGGTGATTTAATGGTGCTGGTGCTTCTCCCTGCTGGAAGACCAAACATACCCATCACTGAGGCCTGGGAACCTGGGACCCAGAGATCCAGAGATGACATGGTTGCACTGCTGATGGCTGTAGGTAATGACACATATTTGCTCAATTGCTTTATTTGTCTGGGGTCTCCGGGCACGTTGCTTATGAAACACAGAGTAGTTTCTGACTCAAACACTTGGGTGCAAAGCAAGAGACAGCAAGTGATCGGAGCCAGAGCAGAGCTACAGGCAGGGAATGGTGTTGGTTTGCCTGGCCAGGGTGGAGAAGGAGAATTTTAGGAAGAGATGTAAAGTGGGAGAATAAGGTGGACAGAGAGGAGCTGGATCTGGTGCCATTACCTGGGGACACTGCAGAGATGGCAACAGCTGAGCAGCCTTTGCTGAGGAGGAGGATTCAGGGTCAGGAGTGAGGAGTTATGCATGGAAGGGCTGGCATTCACGCTGGAAGATGAGGATGGAGAGTCACTTCTGATTCCAATATCACTGGATATTGCCGGTCCCAACTCTGTTGCGATGGTGACAGAGAGAGGCTCTTTCAGCTGGTTGGTCACCAGTTCCATGGATTTAAAATCCTGCCTGGGGGAGACCGGCCAGATGTGAAAATGGCTCTTCTTGCATGATTTCTTCAGAAGCGTTGGGCAGGCCAGCTGTGCTGCCAATGGGAGTGTACAGCGGTGTACAGAGGACACACAGCCTGTGCCCAGGGGTGGGGAGGGACCCCTCACCTCTCCCTAGTGCCTGCCACTCTTCCTGGCTTCTCACAGCCACTCCAGTGATGGAGTGAAGGCGTTTTGCCCCAAGGACCATGTCCCACCATGTCTCCATGCTGGAGAGCCTCAGGACTGATGGGGAGCAGTGGTGGGGTTGCTCTGGTACCTGCCTGGCAGAGGCTGCCAGCTGCAAGCCCTTGTTGAGAAGGAATGGCTGAGAGCCTGGCACAGAAATATCTGGCAGGAGCCTAAATATAAAATCCTCTTTAGAGGTACCTTTTTTTCCCCATGAGACGACATAAAAACTCTCTTGACTGCTAAGAAACTCGCAGCATCTCTCTGTGGTTGTGTGTCCCAGACACAGGGAAAAGGGTCAGGGTTTGGCTCATAATCTGCCCGGAGCTGCTTTGTTTGGTACCAAGCCTTTTTCACTAACAGTACGCACAGACGTGCTCTCCTGAATTAAATGATAACTGAAGGGAAAAGAGAGAAAGAGGGCGTTTCAGCCAGGCGGGAGATTGATGGCAGGTCAGCGAGGCCAACAGAGGCAGGAAGGTTTCCGTAGAAAGGGAGAGGAGCCCGTGGATGCTTGAAGCAAGGACTAATTCCACCCTAACAGCGCCCTAGAAACTCTTCTGAACACAACCCGCAGAAGCATTTTGCTTTCCCAAATCTGGAAAAACAAACAGGAGTAAAATCTGTTTGCTGGGTTTTAATCGACTCATCAGAGTTGCAAATTAGCTTTAGGTTTATGCAGCGTGTGTTTTTTGAACTGTAATCTCCAGTGTTCCCAAAGGCTTATCCAGACCAGATTTCTCAGCTCCTCTTGTTCACTTGCGGGGCTTTTTTTTTCTTTTTTTTTTTTTTTTGCACGTGCAGCCACATTTTTCATGCTTGTGTTTCGCAGGGATGGAGGGGTGGTCTGGGGGAACCTGCTGTACAGGCCTTGGGCTGGTCCAGGCACTTCCTGCAGGGTTTGGATAGTTTGGCTAACTCATTTTTCCTCCTGGCCTTGAAAGCTTGTTTCTATCATGCCGGGATAATCACATGCCCTCTTCTTACTGTTGGACAGTTTTCGGCTGGATCTAGAAGTAATAGCAAGTGAGCCGAGAAGATTATACCCCACGTGGACTCTGGATGCTTTGTCTTGGGCAGGAGAGGCGCAGACTGTTTTCCTGGTCCCCAGCACAGCCCTCACAAGTGTCTCGCCTCCGGACGGCCGAGGGAAAGAACAAACAAAAAACTGACTGTAAAACTTGGGAGGCTTTGTCTGCCCGGCCCACGCTGTGCCCACGCTGACACAAAACGGGTGGGCAGAGGGGTGACTCGGTGGGGTGGGGGCTCTGCCCCTCATCAGGGTGTCCCTTCTCTTCTCCCCTGAGGGGGCTCCTCTGCCCCGGGGTCTGAACTACGGAGCCTCCAAGGGCAAAGCCCAGGAGGGATGCTGAGCTCTGGGGTGATTCCGGGCAGTGGGGGTGACACAGAGATGCCAGCGGGTACCAGGGGATGGGGGACCCCCGAAAAGGTGTGAGACATCAGGGGGGCTGTGGAGCCCGGGGAGAGGGATGCTGAGCCCCATGGAGGGGACCTGGTGGGGGGAATGGGGGCACTGGGGGATGCAAAGTCCCGGGTGATACATAATCTCGGGTGATGGGGAGCAGTGGGGGGACACTGGGACGCTGGGCGTGCGGAGCACCGTTGGAGGATGCGGAGGCCCCGGGGGTGCGGGGCACTGGAGGAATGCGGGGCTGCGGGGGCGGTGGATGAGGAACTCCCGGGGGGTGCGGAGCCCGGAGGAATGCGGGGCCCCGGGGGATGCGGGGCCGGGCGGGTGCGGTGCGGGCCCCCC